TCAAGTAAGCAACTACCAAGGCAAACATCCAAACGATTTACTGCTGACAATGAAGGCTACATCACCGCAGGGCCGGGTGTCCTCTCGTAAATGTGTCCTGTGCGTTAAAAGCACGCACGGAAATGGCAGCCATATTAGCAAACATGGTTCTCGTTTTAACGAACGAACACAGGCTGGAAAATACGTGGCAATTCTTACGTTGTGCCCATATTGGCAAGTAATTGTAAGAGACGCTCGTAATCGACATTGACTGAAACATCGATAGTCTTTTAGGATCCGAGGAAATTTTGGTTGGGCGTTTAAATGCCAAGCACGCGACATATTTGTGTCATGACTGGAGACAATTAGTAGTGGTTTACGATGGCAGCTGTCTCGTACACCATGACGTGTAAAATCTGAATATGTCAATTCTCTGTTAAGTTGCAAACAGTTGGACATTAGATGACTTATATTTCGACAACCAAACCCTCGAGGATCTCAATTTAAGCACACTCGGATATGTACTACACATCACATTTCTTCATAGCGCCCCTGGCCTCGACACGCATCCACGCGCTGAAAAAGCACCTGTGTAGATAAGCCATTGGTTCTAAAAGCAAGCCGATGTCCACAGCTTTGACAGAAATACCAACTGGAAGTCATGCGGGCTTGTTTACCCGAGTTGTACGAACCCCATGACCCAGAAGCGCCTCACTGCATCACGCTTCCTTGCAGATCAACTCCAAAATTCTTCAACTTTTTAGCGAACGCAGGCCTGACAAGTGTTCTGTTTTATTTCGTGACTGCCGGGATTCAGTGTGTAAGATCGGAATCAGCTCATCAACGCACACCATTCTTTTTAGCACTGGTCAAAGTCAGCTACGCCACGAACGTAAATCCTATAGCCTGTAGTTCTAGCGATCTTGGATTGACAAGTAACGGCCTAGTAATCTTAGATTTATAAGATGTAGGCGTGGTAATTTTAGCTTGATAAGATGTAGGTCTAGTCATCTTGTAATGGATTGGCGGTTAGGTCTAGTATATCTTTCATTGATTGGATGAGGGTCTAGTGATCCTGGATATTAATTAGATGCAGCTTGTCTATCAATCTTAGGCGTGAAAATTTTCGGGTTTGGCGCTTTTCTTATTCGGTATGTTCAACGCTATGATTCGTCGTTATCTTCAAGACCTTGTCTGAACCTTTTCTCGCCTGTATTTCTGGATCAGCGCCCTCTGCACTACGCCACATTGCATGCAGCGTACACTAACACCATCCGATCGTAAAACCCGGACCACCAGCAGAATTTTGCGTCGAAAGCTTAACATGCCCCAACGCTCGGCAACGATCCACCCTACCCTCTGACGTCACAGGACCAGGACCAACGGGGCCGCCACCCACCGACCGCGGCTCATTCCAGTCAGGGCCACAATGCGAGTGTCTGAAGCGATTCCAACTCACCCGCCGAGGTTGGTCTCGAATCTGAAAACAGACAAACTTAGCTATCTAAGCCAACAGAACAGATGTGGCTTGATTGAGATGACAAGCAGGGTTCGCATTTATGAAACCCTGGGTAGACGGGTAACCCTGGGTAGACGGGTGGTAGACGGGGTGAGGTGAGTAACCTGGGTAGAC